TCGTTGGGGATCGCCGATCAAATATGTCAATGGCTACGAGGCTGGGCAAAGTCGCACTAGTGCTTTTGAGTAACGAGTCAACAAGTGATGGGGTGAGAAAGATGCCTTGATCTGATGAATCTGCATCAAGCCGCATGTGGTTTGCTTGGAAGCTCCTCCATGATCAGGTCAGCCTGCTCGTGAAGAGACGACCTTCACAGATAAGCCAGACAACATTGTACCCTTTCCGACTCCTGACTGACCCTCCTTTAGGCCAGGCGACAATGGATGTCTTGATCGATATAACGGCAAAATATGAGGAAGGCTGGCTGCTGTTTATGTTTGCAAGGTCTAGCAGTCTGGGCAATCTACAAATAGCACAGCTTCCTTGCTTTTTCCCTCCTTCATTGGAAGATACGATTCCCAAGCCACCAGTCAATGTACATCCCTCTGCTAAACATAGCTACGCCCCGATCAGTCCAAGAGACTACCCGGCGATTAGGCTCAACCACGGCTACTTTCGGCTTGGCCCGTCACAATAGTGTCGATGGCCTTTCGAATCGAGGCCAAATGCCCTTGACACGAAGGGGGGTTTTCATCGACCATTCGTACCAACAACAATATGTGAAGCGGGCAAGCTCTAGTAACACGAGTGGTGGTGTCATAACGAGTGTCGTACTCTCCATCGCCTTTCTAGCACTGTTAGCTATCCTCTGCCGATATTATGGCCTCTCTAGGATGTCTTGGTGTTTGCATCATCGCTCCAGAACTCCTCGGCCTAGGATGCACCATCAGCAGCAATCCCAACCCAGCAACCACAGACGACGGAGGAAAACAGGCCAGAACATCCGTCACGTCAGGGACAGCCGCTATATCAGGGACAATCGCCATATAAGGGATAGCCGCCGTGTCAACGAGAAAATCATTCTCAACCAGAATTTTGCGAAAGGTCGTGGCCAAGGTCGGCGCGGCCGCTCAGGGACTCGAGGTGGCCATGGAACCCGCGGCGGCAGCGGTCGGGCTTATGAGCATAATAATGTTGACGCTCTTGAGGGCTCCGGCGGGTTGGGCGGAGGGGGACGCGGAGGAGGTGCACAGCTTGGGGTCCAAAACGCCGCAAATGATGAAGGTGCTGCACCTTATCGAGGCAGCTATGGCATAGGTGGGCATGGACAGGGCGGACATGGACAAGGCGGGCGAGGCGGCTCGGGCGGTATAGGCGGGGCAGGAGGTGTCGGTGGTACCGGCGGCAACGGCGGGGATGGGGGGCTAGGAGGAAGCGGTCGGGCCGACGCCCAAGCCCATGCGGCAGTCATTTCTCTCTGTATGTGCTGCACATTTACCTCGCCGAAGACACACAAGCCAGCGAGACCCGACATCTTCCACAGGCCGAGTTCTGATGGATTTGGTCCCGTCCACGTGGTTCACCCGATCATTTCGCAGCCTCAATCCGATCCTCTGCCTCCTCCTCCTCCTCCTCCCCCGCTAGTAGAACCTCTGCGTCCGCCACCTGAGCCTGTGCCTCCCATTATTTACGAAGGTGGCCACGGCGAAGGCGGTGTGGGTTACGGCGGTCGCGGAGGCCGCGGAGGCTCCGGCGGTCTAGGCGGTTATGGGGGAGACGGCGGAACAGGCGGCCGAGGTGGAGAGGGAGGTCGGGGAAATGCTATGGCAAGTGCTGGGGCGCCGATATATCCATCATTAATGTGTTGTGTCTTCATTCCGACTCAGCCTAGACGATCTGAATCGCGCCGGAAACACTGAGACGCAGGCTTTGCAAGGAACGGGACTTAACGCACTCTGCACAATGCATGTGGTTGGATCCAACGGTCATTAATTCCTCCAACTTCGGTGCACATCAAGTACTCGCAGAACTGTGCCACTGGGTCTCTGCGGCCAAATCATAGGTACCCAGTTAACTAAATTGAGTGGGGCTGGGGCAGGTCAGTTACACAAGTGACACCAGGCCAGCGAACGGCATAAGCAGATTGAAGATTTTGCTCCCGCGTCTTCCATCCATCAAGCCTGCTACAGTAGAGCGGGCATCAAAGCCAACAAGCGCATACCCTCACAGACCCGAATCACAACGTAAACTCGTCAGAGGCTCTGTTCCACCACTACTGTTATATGATACGTGACTTCTTTTACTGAATTCACTCTGCTTCGATCATCCTCGGGCACCCAATTCCGAAGATGGGCTTGTCCACGTCCGACATAATCGGCCTTGTCGTTGGCGTCGTCTCGGCTGTCATAGCACTCGCAAGCGCTTTCATTGCTTATTGCACTTGGCAATATCCCAACTCACGCATTGGAAATGTCGGTGCCAACATCTCAAAGAGTCTCTCGATTCGCGGCGGGGAGGGTCGCGGTGGACATGCAACAGGGCCCGGAGCAAGGGGCGGGCCCGGAATGGGTGGATCTGCGGACGCCCACTTTATTCGGTCAAAGTTTCTGCCGGGCAGAGCTCGCCCGGATCGGAGAGAGGGGGATATTGAGGCCCAAGTGCTCCGCGGGGTTAGAGACATCAAAGTTCACGGTGGGACTGGGAGCGGCGGAGATGCTGAGGGAACTGGGGCACAGGGCGGAGCCGGGATTGGCGGTGCCGCTACGATTTCTACATAAAAAGGCCTCTTGTACGCCTTTAGTCGTACTTGAACAGTCCTGAAATTTCAATACGACCGACAGAATCTCGGATGGACAAATTCGGACACCAGAAGGCACTCCGATCAGCCTAGGTGCCAATCATGAAGTTGATGAAGAGGTCTGTTACTTGTAGCCGTGGGGAATACGGGGTGGAGCCTTAAGGATGAGAATGACTCATGATTAAGCATACTTCAGATAAAACGCCAAATCCTACACAAAATACGGAGGGACCGTTGTTTCCTTGGCCCAGCGTTGCATTCATATCAAAATGCGGGGATCCCCGGCGCATTGAGGGGAAATTATCCGTCCTGTGCTTCCGGAAGCCCGGCTAAAAGGGATGAACCGACTATGTCCCCACACTGGACTGCTGAGTCGAGAGGACTCGGAAGAAAGGTTAGGCATGAATCAAGACCACTTGGACTCCTCATGAAGGATCAGACAAACTCGCGTGTGACACCGTGTGCCCGCCGCATCAGTCGAGATAAGATGGCTGTGGACGCATACCTGCTTGTTCATCAAGTGCTTGGGCGACTTGGAACAAACATCGATCGCAAGTTGCTGCTTGTACTCGCATGTCTCATTCTGGTCATTTGCCCAGCCGACGCTCAGGCACCTCCCGATGCCTATCTGCAGACTCCAGTCCAGCGTCAGCTCGACTGGCATCGAATGGAATACTACGCCTTCATCCATTTTGGACCCAACACCTTCACCGACGAAGAATGGGGCAGGAGTCAGCAGCCCCCCGACGTCTTCAACCCGACAGCGCTGGACACGGACCAATGGGCCAAGTCGTTCGCCGACGCGGGCATGTCCGGCATGATCTTGACAGCGAAGCACCATGACGGCATGGCGCTGTGGAACACCTCTACCACAACCTACAAGATTGCAAATGGCGGCTGGGCCAAGAACCGCTCCGCAGCTGGGTTGGAGGCTGACGTGGTCCGTATGGCTGCCGCCTCGGCGAAGAAGTACGGTCTCAAGTTCGGCGTGTACTTGTCACCATGGGACATCCACCGCGACCCATCTATGCCGAAGCCTTTGCTCACTGGCACCATTTACGACGAGCCGCAAATCTTCGGCGATAACAACGATGGGGACTACAATGATCTCTATCGCCGCCAGCTCACAGAGCTGGTGAACATGACTCTGACAGACGGCAGCTCTGTATCGCTCTTCGAGATCTGGCTTGACGGCGCCAGCGGCTCTAGCACCGTCCAGACCTTCGACTGGACAGGCTTCCGCGACATCATCCGTACGCATCAACCCTCAGCGATCATGTGGGGTCACCAAGGTGTGGACGCTCGATGGGTGGGCAATGAGGACGGCGTGACAGTGCCCACTAACTGGCACACCATCAGCCGGACGCAGGACCAAGAGCGCCTCAGCGAGGCAGATCTGCAAACAGGCCTCCGTGATGGATTGTACTGGACCCCGGCTGAGGCTGACGCTCGAGTTCGGACGGGTTGGTTCTGGCATGCCAGCGAACAGCCCAAGTCGGGACAACAGCTCTTGGACATGTACTTCCAGTCCGTGGGGCGAAGCGTAAGCCTTCTTCTTGACGTGCCGCCGGACACCACAGGGCAGATAACTAAGGAGGACAACGATGCCCTAATGGAGTTCAAGCGTCTCAGAGACAGCTTTCTTGGCCGCAACCTAGTCACTCCCGATTCAAAAGTCACGGCCAGCAGTGTCAGAGGCGGGAACAATTCTACATTTGGGCCTGCAAATGTCCTGAGCTCCTCGACTTACACATACTGGAGCATGAATGACGAGGAGCGTACAGGCTGGGTGGAAGTTGATCTTGGTGCCACGGCTCGCGTCGATGCGTTCATTATTCAGGAGCATGTCGCGCTGGGCCAGCGGGTAGGCGGATATGCCATCGATTGCATGATGGATGGAGCATTCGAGAATGTTCTCAACGGCACGTCCCTGGGCTATAAACGCATCGATAAGCTCGGTGGCGCGATGGATACCAGCCGAATTCGACTTCGGATTACACAGGCAAATGCGGTGCCCCTCATACAAAGCATCCAGGTGCTCTGCACCAATTTGTAAGTTGTAGAACGTCTAGGCGAGACATCACAGTGTATATAGTTCTTGTCCCCTCCTGGCTGGCTTTCCATAATTGTTTAATTGTCAGATCTACGTAAAACGACTAACGCGAAGGGAATGCTGGAAGTGCAAATTTGTTACCCACTAGAAACCGGATTGAAGTATCATCAATGATGTCAGATGGACACGAGCGCTAGAACGGAGAAGCTGACATTTAGTATTGACGCTAAAATTGATTCTCCTCTTAAACAGCGGTATCGCAACAATAAAATGCAAAGACGACTTTGGTGCACCTCTCGACAGCTTCGATCCTTAGGAATATTCATCTAAGCTCCGTTCAGCCCCGCTTGCTTGACATGTACGTCCGAGTTGGTGGCATTGAGAACAAGTTTGATGTGAGATATTGAAAACACTTCACCCTTGTCCTTGGCCACGATTCTGGCGCTATTAAGTATGTTTTTGATCTTACGAGATTAGCAAAGGTCAAGGCACACATCATGTTTGCATTTGCATTAGAAATTGATACCTTACCTTTCTTCCATTTACCTCCAGCTTAGATAGCCAGGAAATGTCTTCCTCAGTGACACCGACCGTAGCACCCTTGTACATGTCTTTCAGTCTTCTCAAAAACATTGACCATATCTGTTTTCTCGCAGCCTCATCGAGCTCAGGGTACTCGTGTGAGATGTGAACTCTGCTCTCAAACGCAGTATCAAAATCCGTGATACGATTGGTTGTTAGTATGAGTATCCCCTGGTAGTACTCCAGTTGTCGGAGAAAAATGCTGACGAGTGCATTTCGTTGAATATCATAAGCTTCTCTTTGCTGGAGAAAGACGTCGGCCTCATCAATCAGTAACACTGCATTCCACTTGTGTGACTGCTCAAGGATCTCGCTAAGTCGTTTGTCAACCGTTATGGGATCAATGCCAAGGTCCCCAGCAGAGACACTGTACAGAGGGCGTTTGGTGATCTCAGCCACCGCTTCGGCTGTTAACGTCTTGCCGCTTCCTGGAGGTCCACTGAACAGGCATACGATTCCTTTGCCCTTGCCAGAGATAATGTCGTCGAATCCATCGTCCTGCGAAGAGTGTTGCTTCACCATCGAACGAACTAGAGTTTTCGTTGGCGTATCGAGAACAAGGTCTTTGAACGCCTGATCATCCCAATTGATATCAGAGAGACGAGATGTGGCGAAGCCTCCTGTTTGGATTTGGATTAGCTCAGGTTCAATTCAACTGCCTGTTTCTCATCTCCAAACGATCACATACCCCATTTCTTGTTGCCAAAGCAAAATCCGAATGCGACTGGTGAGCAGGTCATAAGCTGCTCATCCGTCAATTCTTCCCGCGAGAGCCCTCTGTGGACTTCGGGCATGAACTCTAGATTCGGGTTGAATGACCGGAAGCCGGCAGGATCGATCATGGTCCGACCCTGGGAGGCAAACTTGAAAGCGTACGCTTCCCGGCGAGAATCACGTTTCTCAAACATGGCCGGCCCACTCGTCTCCATTACGCGAGGTTCGTTGAGCGCCACGAAACGACGTCCGTAGCGCAAAGCCTCTGCCCGAACTGCTTCCGGGTGGGCGTGGTACTTGAGAGGAAAGATACGCAAATCTACAATCTTGCGGGTCCCGGAAAACTCCTCGATCGCCATGAGAAAAGGCTCGTAGGCCAGACCGAACTTAACACCATCGTCCACTATTATTCGGCAATTGAGCTGCCAGTACGGTGGTCTGTTGAACGTAACCACCTTCTGGATAGATCGCAGCTGAAGAAGCTGATTTTGTTCAATGAGTCGATGATACCGGTACACCAGAATATTGGGCGGGAAGATGGCCCATATGAGCTCCCATGTAATTTCGCCAGATTCAAGTAATTTAAGCAGATTACCTCTAGTCGTGGCGTGTTCTTCCTCGGCGAATTTCACTGTCTCCATCAGGTCTGCTACGAGCTCTTCGTCTGGAGGTAGGGCTTGTCTAGCCTTATCCAACGATTCCTGCAGTCCCTGTTGACTGTGAAATATTGTTTCGGGTGTGACCTGAGTAGATTGTATCAGCGACTCGGTAAAGTTTATACAATTATCGCTTGATGCCACAACTTACAACCGGAGGATTGGTCTTCAGAGATACTTCCTCGACATCTGCATTGATTTCCTGCATGACCTGGGCAACTCTCTTGGATTTGATGTCGATTTTCGTCTCAGTGTGAATTCCCTTATCGTTGATGAGCCTACGGACCATCAAAACAGCCTTCTTTCTGTTTTGCTTTCCGATATTGGACTTCTCTGATTTTATGAGTCGGATCTGTCCCGCTCGGCTACCAGCATGAAGGGTTTCAGCTTTCCTTCGTCTGCCATCGACGCGTGATTTTGCGTTCTATTCATAGCGACAGATTACGTACACATCGAATCTGTGACTGTGTCAGTCGCCTTTGACCAATCAATTTTTTGAAGAATATTTTCAACTTACACTTCATCGTAACGTAGAATTCGGGTCTTCAACCTCGGGGCTGGGTTTGACCCGTCATTCTTGTCGTCTGCGGCAACATCACTCATCTTGCACTCAAAAGAAAAGCAAGACTGAAGTAGTCTGAATGTGTGAGAGATGTTGATTCACACTGGGGCTTAGAACGTCGCAAACTGAACAATAGAGAGCCAGGGTACTGTGGGAAAAGGTTTGCATTTATGACGGCGTCTTGGGATCCTTTACAAGCGGAGAATCAGGAAGCCCAGTAAGCAGGCATAATTTGATTTGGTGGTCGCTCGGCTGCCTCATTCTGCCTGATGTTGCCTAGCGGACCCCATCGGGGCAGGTCCAAGCCTTAATCTGACGGCCGAGAAAGGCCTGGATTCCTGATATTTGCCTGTGATTAAGACCGTGGCATGCTGCGATTGGAATGATTCTCGAAACCACTGGAGGCGTTGTCATGGGCTGCTCAGATGTGGGTTCTATGATTCTCATTCATTGGACACGACATCATGCCGTGGTTGCCTCGTGGCATAACGCCCGTACATGTAGCCTTCGGAGTGGGTGTGCTGCGGTCGGCTGAGACTTACACCCCGCAGGCGTATCGAATGAGGGGGCGGTTCATGACCCTGTAGCCGGGCTCCCTGTTCGCTTGCCTTATCAAAGCTTTTAGCGACTTAAAACTATCTGGTTCGCAAGGCTCCTCTTCGACTCCTCATCTGACACAGAAAACCTCGCCATGAAACATGACCTTTATCTGGAATGATATCCCTCCTTCAAATCGCTGATGTGTAGAGTTGCTGTAGCATCATAACGAACCTTGCAATTCGTCTTCGCCCTGGCCCCTTGGTCTGTGTCAAATGAACGAAAGGTCTGTAGCACGTCATGGACCCTTTCAGTCTCACTGTGGGAGTACTCGGGATACTCTCAGCTGTGACATCATGCCTCAAGATTGTCGGGGATCATGTAGGCCCTTCCACAATGTCGGCAGAAGAGCTTCAAATCACAACCAAAGCCTTGTACGACTTCCACGGAGCTATGAAGAACCTTGAGACGCATTTGGAGCTCAACAGACGTGATAAAGACCGGATCAAATCACTCCAACACCTCAAGCCAATAGTAGCACGATCATACGAGTCCTTGCAAGTAATTGAGGACTACATGGCTGGTTCCCGGTCGAGAAAGGTTTTTGGTGGTGTCAGGTTTGACAAAAAGCTCAAACTTTCACTCAAGTATTTGGACGACGCCGGCAAGATTTTCAATGTCGCAATTCTCATAAATACTGAGTATGTTGTACTTTTGCCACCTAAAATACCCTTTTTGAACAGCGTCTAAATCGCCATCAGAAACATCCAATTAGAAGTCGACGCGCATCTTCGGACAATTGGTGACGATGTCAAGGAGGTTCAGCAAGCTCAAAGTAGCAGTTCCCAAAGTATTTGACCTCAAAGCATGGCATTTCATACAGGTAGAAGTCGGCTAACATGATAAAGATGACGCATATCTCAGTGTCAGGGCGTGGCTCGGTGCGAAGGCCGCCAGCGATAGAAACCGCCAGATTCATGACAACAACCTATCATTACGATACAATTGTAGCGGCGAATGGCTATTCAGCCATGCCGCTTTCCAACATTGGCTTACCACCAAGGATCATAGAACGAAGCCGAAGTTCTGGCTTCGAGGCTCGCCTGGGGCTGGCAAGTCGTTGCTTTGCTCTACAGCGATAGAACATGTCCGCCAGAAGCAAGACGGAATATGCTTGTACTACTTCTACAGCTTTGATGACAATTCTGAAGTTGGTGACGGTTCTGAAACTGACCCGGATAGCAACGTGAAGGTAGTCAAAGTGAAGGCAGTCGCACTTCTTGTCGATCAGCTATTCCGGCACATATGTCGACAGGACCAAGGAGTGGCCAACTACGTGTATGACTATATCAAAACGGAGGAAATGACAATCAAGACACTTGAAGAGGTCGTTAGACTGATTCTCAGAGACGGATATCGATACGCGCAGGGGACAGGAAACCCCTTGAACACAGAGCCAATCATCCTTTACGTCTTCATCGATGGATTGGACGGAGAAAAGCACTCAAGAACAGCTGCTGACATTTTGAAGTTATTCGACAGTGCTGGACAAAGTCATGTGGCTGTGCAAAAGTATTGGGTCAGCAGTCGAGACACCACCATGCTGGATCAACACCTGGAGACATGCCCAGCCATTGTTATAGACAAACACGCGGAAACTGACATCCAGGACTTCCTGACGCAGAGTGTACGAAAGTTCGACAAGAACGCTGACAGGGGGCAAGAGGTGGTGGGCGAGCCACGTAAGGACCCATTGAAACCCATCTTTGCATGAGTGTCTCGCTAACACCGCATGCCAACTCAGTGGACGATTGGGTATTACGACAATTGAAGCGGAACTCACAGGGCAACTTTCTTTATGCAAAGCTCATGGTGGAAGGGCTCAAGAAGATGTTCAACATCGACGACGTAGTGACCTTCATCAAATCAGGAGTTCCTAATGACTTCGAAAACATCTACAGACGCATATTCGGCCAATATCAAGAGCATGAGCATAAATACATCAGGTATTATGATGGTTTCCAATCTGACGTCCGAAGGGTTGTCATATTATGCTAACGATTCATGGTCAATCTAGCCTACTCTTTTCATTCATTGGCTTCGCCAGGCGGCCACTACATCTGCATGAACTTGAGGAAGCCATGACATTGGCACTATCAGATCCTGGCAAGGGCCTTGATCCTCGAAAGGCCCCCTTCAGTTTGCAACAGTGGTTTGGACCTTTGATACAAATTCAGCATGACCCAAACGGGATGAGCAATCCTCTTTGCCGCCTCTGCCACTCTACCGTTCTTGATTTTCTCCTTGAAAATCCTGAGGTGCTTCGTGCTGGAACTTCTAGTCAAACCTCCTTTGATTATGGTATCTCTGCTTCAAGAGTAGGAGATATCTGCCTACGCTATCTCTCACTCGAAAGATACTCGACACCCTTGGAATTGCCGGTAGAGGAATGCCATGCATCACTATCTGTCCTGTTTGATGACGTCAAGAAGCATGCTTTTTTGACGTATAGCGCAAAATATTGGGATCGACACATGGAGGATTTGGAGCCGACGCAGCAAAGACGAAAAGAGCTGCACGACTTCCTCAGGTCTTCCAACTTTCAGACTTTGCTCCAGGTCCAGAGCCTTTCCGTATCGGCTCATTTTACTCAATTCAGAGTGTTTGGTGGCAGGTCCCCCTCCAGACCTATGCATCGAAGAGTGTTTCCGAGCTGGTTTGGATGGGGACTGAAGGATGAAGATCTGGCATACATCGAAGAAGCAATAATTGTGCGTTTAGACTATCGACATTTCGTCAACGAATGGGGATACTTGCTGGACCGTGGCATCTGCGAGAATGCCAATTCAGGAGAATGTCGTTTTGAGCACTTTTTTGGAGAGGTCCACAGGTGTTTGACGGGTCTTCTGGGTCCTACACACTTCATGGCCGGAATGAAGGAGAGATATGCAAGCTTCATGCTAACAACCGAGCCATTCAAGTACCACATGTCAGAGCAGCTTGTCATTGCCGATGCGCTGTCCGCGACAGCATCTCAGTTCATGATTCTGTCCTCGCCCTCAGAGTAAGTATCCGTAGGAGCTACAGCTCGCTTGAAGATGTTACCCGTGCTTACAGTTGGCGACAGGGGCTCAGATCAAGTTTCTCTGGACATGTGGGACCTCAAGCAACAAGGTGCTCCTCGTCCTGTTTCGACCAGCATCGTTTCCCCTGCCGGGATTGACTTGAAGTCAGATGCGACGCGGTCTGTTGCGTTTTCCCATGCTTTCACTCAGTTTTTGTTCGGAAACCGAGACAGGAGTGCCAGACTTATCTCTGAGCAGCAAGCCGCGAACCCCAGTTATGAACCTCTTTCAACAGACATTGACTCGCGTGATGGAATAGTAGTCGTTGCAACTCGCAGTGTGCACAAACACACTCGAAAACAAGCGGCGACGAACAAGAGCATCCCCGAATCTACAAAGTCGTCGGGGGACTCGGAGTCTGATTCGTCAGAAAACGAGAGCGATGATGATTCGGACGATGAATATCTCTCTAGCTCCACCGACGACAATTCAGCCGATGAAACATGCAGCGAAGGGTCCACAGATATTGATTCGGATCAATCTGAAAGCGAGAAGTCTGAGAGTGACTCGGAAGCTGATGACCAGTATTCTGAGTCGTCTGAAGAGGATGATGAAGCCAGCGATGTTGAGTCAGAGAACGAGAACGACACAGCTAAACCCGACGAATCGAAAAGAACCAGGATAGTGCTTAATTACGAGCAACCAGAAGATAACCAACTGAAACTGGATGAGGGCCTTCTAAAGAAGAAGGATGAAATTCGCCCGACATATCCAGGTATGCCAGGTCACTTCAGGGATTCGCAGGACCGAATCACTGCTGGTGTCGTCGTATATAATGTCAGTTCAGGCCAGGCTGTCCGCATGTTTCGATACGAGCATGACGCTCCTGCGATGCTTTACCACTCGCCCCCGGCGCTACATCCGACAAAATCCCTCCTCGTTTGGCCTTTAGGCGGTGGCGAAGTGTTATTCGCCGATTATGAAGAGAGGACGTACTTCACCAGGGCCGCAGTGCCTACGACAAACGATAGTGAGTTTTGTGCCAGCGACTTCCTTTACATCAACGACTGACGACGCAGCGCGGCATATCTGTATGAAGGTCCGTTTCTCGTCTTGCGGAGGACTTCTCCACATCGCCAGCGTGGAGGGCCGCGTGCCGAGGACAAGAGCTGTGACTACAACATCCGGAAATAAGAAGTCGGAGATCGTGCTGTCTCTGTTCTTGACCACCCACCGGCTCTCATTGCGTAAGACCACGCGCAGCCCACCAAAGCTGGTTCATAAGGTAAAGCTCACTCTCGGGCATTTTACTGGCCTCTCGCTTGCGAAGCTGCCTTTCACCTTCACCTGGACACCTGAGCATCTTCACTTCACTGTCAGCGGCACACAACTCAATGTGTTTCGGATCAATCTTTTACGCCCTGCTGCTCCCTCCATCCCCGTGGTTACTGTTCCCAGGCTCCCAATAATGCTTCCGATATCTGCGTCTGCTAGGCAAGTCTATTACATACCTCCAGACGCCGGAGAAGCTGGCGAAGGCTCAGAGGGGCGAGCTATCATCTTGATGGGTAGCTACGGCGCCCGTAAAGAGCCTGTCCAACTGCGGCATCGGTCAGTGTGGGCCACGCTTCGAGGTATAGGTCACGTGCCCCACAAGGAACTGCCAGACTATCCATGCCCGGCCGTGGGAATATTTGTCAAGGAACAAAGTGATCTGGGCGGCTGGGTCGCTCTAGACACGAGCGCATACAAAGATGACGACCTAGGCATAGCGGCGACAGCTGGCGGTGGACAACGTCTTGGAGACGGAAAGTTGACAAGGAAGATTGAGGTATTCAATTGGCGGGATGATATTGACTTGGAAGGGATTTGTGATTGGTGTAATACGCCGCTGTCATTCAAGTCTGGATATGCGTAAAGAGCCAGGATTTCAGAACGTAGAGACATATATCGAACTGATAGCTAGTATTAGATTATTTATAGCACGCCCATATCAATTGAGCATGTGATGGAAGGGATTGAAAGCTTTAGAGGCTCTGCACGTGGTACCGGGAGATATATTAAGTTAAGTTGTCGAAGCTGCGACATAGCAATATAGAGCCACCCGAGTATACGAATAGATTAGTCACACAGAACATGCCAGACTAGGAAGACTGAACACACATACAGCGCGGTGCATCTAGTATAGAGAATTCTACTTCTACTTGGTACTATAACTTTATAAGTTAGACAGTTTTTAGGAGATTTGGGCCGACTGAAATAGAATAAAAGTTAACAATACCACGCATCCAGTACTTAATACCTCCTGGTAATTATAAGATAGAACGTGAAAATTGCAAAAATCAACTACACAGAGGGAGAAAGGCAACTACGGTTTGATGCACAGTACTTCATAAGCCTGCACGCGATAGGATGCGGCATATAGGGGTTGATTAGGCACATCAACTACATTAAACAGAGGCTTTGAGTAAGGCCTACTGCAGTTCTACGCCCGAAGCAGCCAGTGTGACGTAGAACAGTTTCGTCTGCCCAGTAATAATCATACGGCCATTTCCAGCGAATTGGAAGTTTGCAGCAGTGGTGCCAGTGTAAATCTTGCCAATGAGCTTGCCAGAGGGGTTCCAGACATGAACACCATCTCCGCAGCCCGCGTAGACACGGCCAACAGAGTCAGTGTGAACACCTACAACGAGTTAGTGTGCGAAAAAAAATGGGAATGGTAAAGAACGAACCATCAGGAATAAAGGAGGCAGTGTAGGCAAACGTCTTGCGGTTCTCCCAGGTGCCGTCTTCATTCACATCGAAAGAGTAGACCGAAGCGGGAGAAGAGAGATTGCGGCCATAAAATCCCAGAGCGATGCCGGTGTCGGTGACGTAGGCCTTCTTGCCATCAGGAGAGTAGGTGAGGCCTATCAGTTGTTAGGTGGGTCCCCTTCAGCTGCATTAATGAGAACAAACCATTAGGCAAAGTGAAGTCATCAGCCACGACGGCGACGGCGCCGGTCTCGAAGTTGTAGCGGTAGACTTGGTTGCGCAGTCCCGGAGGAGGGCGGAAATCCTGTAGGAAGCCGTACAGGGTATCGGTGAAGTAAAGCTCTCCATTACGGGGGTTGATGACGACGTCGTTGAGTGAGTTGAATTGACGACCGAAGTAGTTGTTCAAGAGAACTAAGGGAATAAGCGAAATGCGTCTTTGCGTTACTAAGGAGACTCACCGGTGGTGTTGAATGGAGCGACTGGGTTCATGAGATACAAGGCAGAGGTGATATCGTCACCTTGGCCTTCTCCAGCGAAGACGATGTTGCCCTTGTAGTTCGTACCACCTAGGCATTCATGTAAGCTGGCTTAATGCCTTCAAGTATCAAGTAACTTACCATTGGGGTTGATGACCTGGGGTTGCGACGGCACAACAGTGACAGTTGCGTTAGCCCGGGAACCTGTTCGCACAGCCTCGGCTTCCGCGAGTGAGATCTTCTGGATGATGGAAGACTTGTTCAGCCCAGTGCCTGCAGCAGGAGCACCGGCATTCTGAACGAAGAAGACCTCTTCGGTGGGAGGGTTCCACACAACAGCCTCGTGGAAAATAGGGTCGGTGTCAGAGGTAGCAATGAGGGTAAGCGAGGGGTTCGGTCCAATAACATCGTAGAACTCGGCATCGTAGATGTGGAATGGTCTAGCCTCAAGTGACTCTTTCGTGACACCAGGCCAAAGGAAGAGCTGCATGAGAGTGAGCAAAAATAGCCGCAAGAGGATGGGAGCGACATACCGTTGAGTCGTTGGCCTCTGCAGGAGGGGGCACATTCTGCAGGACGTTGAAACTCTTCCAGTCAATTATCTGGGCTGTGGCGGGAACTTCGGCAGCGGTACAAAGTCCCATGCCCAGGGGCACTAGAAGACCTGCAGCGACTACAGCCAGCAAAGACGACATTGTTGGTTTCCAGGAGTGTTGTGCTTGGTGGTGTGTGACGAGGGGAACATGTTCCAGAGGTTGGGTACGAGGCGCTTTGTATGCTACCGTGGACGTCCCCGCGTTGATGGACCCTTGCATGTTTAAAATTGCATAGTCGCATCTGCCGGTGCATTAAGATGCTAGACTAGTCCAATAATGACTGCGGTGAAGGGACAAAAAGATGGAGTGCGACTGTGCCAATGAAGCTCCCCCAGAACCCCCACTCCGAATTTTAGCTATTGCGGAGTAGTTCCCCGAGTCTTGGCAATGGTTCGACTTGGTCGAATTTGGGCAAAGGTCCGTCTCCAGGGACGTTAGTGCTATAATGACCACGGCATCTAGAAAGTTAATGTATGTGCCAAGCTGTTGCTTCGCGACATGATCCTGTTGAAGGTCTAGGTCTAAGGTCTTGAGTACTTCCTGCGATGTATCGTTGGGAACACCAAAGGACACACGCTAATCAAGCAAGCTGAAACTCCTGTTTTTTGAGGAATAATGATGTGCTTGTGATTCTTAAATGTCCGACAATGATAGCTCTAGAGTCGAGGACTTTTTGCTCTGCTGGACACATTGCTCTGTTGTGTCATTGTTGACTTCATGGACCGTTGGCAACGATGGCAGAAATCGACATCAACACCAGGATCATCGTTGCGATTGTCATTTGCGTGTTCATCAGCATTGCTTTTTACAACGTTCTTGAGCTTACCGTCTCAATCTTTACATCATTCAAAAGGCGCTCTGGATTGTACTTTTGGAGTATTCTAATCGCAACATGGGGCATCGCATTCAATGGGACTGGCTACCTGCTGAGGCACCTGTCCCTCACGACGAAACCGATCATCTACGCCACGCTCATTCTCATCGGCTGGTGCGCCATGATAACAGGCCAGTCGGTCGTCTTATACTCACGCCTTCATATCGTTGTTCATGACTGGAAACGATTGCGACTGGTCTTATACATGATCATCGCCGACGCCATCTGGCTGCATATTCCCATCATCATTTTAGTCTATGGGGTAAACTCGGCAAACCCGGAACCGTTCCAGAATCCGTACACCATCTTCGAAAAAATCCAACTCACTGTCTTCTTCGTACAAGAGATCATCATTTCTGCGCTGTACGTCTGGGAAACAACCAAACGCCTTCGTCTCATGAACAGCATCGGCGATTTGCGCACCCGCAAGATCATGAACCACCTGATCTGGGTGAACATACTAGTTGTCCTACTAGACGTGACGATTTTGGCCCTCGAGTTCACCAATCTTTACGACATACAGACAGCCTGGAAGCCGTTGGTATACAGTATTAAGCTGAAGCTCGAGTTCAGCATTCTCAATCGCCTCGTCGAGCTCACACGAGGGGCCTCGAACAGCAGCGCCTACGTGCGCAGTCAAGGACATGGACCGGCAAACGACGTGGCTCTGGAAACATTCAACGGCGAGCGATCTAGGCAGTTCACCAAAACCGACGAGCCTGAGTATGAGGTTCGCATTGGGAAAGGAGACAAAAGTCATGTGTCGCCGGCGACAAGTTCCTACCCGACAAAAACAACGGAGATCACGATTCACACCCATTCACGGGCAAACCACGGTAACCGCGACAGCGACAACATCAGCGAAGATCCAGACAAAGAACGAGAAGGAGACGTGTGTTCAACTTCGTCCGAAGTCCAGTTTGCGAGATATTAGCGGTTTCCAACTTTTTGGGTAAAAAGGAACAGATCACAGGCTAAACGATCGATAATTATTAGCGTTTATTATTCCTCATCCCGACTTTCATTTGTTGACGTTTGTTAAACTCCCATAGTTAGACTTCTTAATTGAGTGTTCAGCTATCGTCTAGAATTCTTCGACCAGACTACAGCTCAGTGCAAATCGCCTCTTCGTGAATGGCTGCGCAAGACGAGGCTTGTGGATGCAAAGACCGGCTACCAAGCTAACATCCGTATCTTCCTGATTTGCGTCTCAGATGGCGTGGAGACGATAGCCACATCATAGTCCACCAATCTACCAGCAAGATATCGGCAACGCCCCCCTCCCCCCCCCCCCACTGTATGTTAAGCTTAATTCAAGGCGGGTTTCTTCAAAGGCCGTTCGAGCTCATGTTGGCCACTTGAACGTCTCCCGCTTCCGTTCCTACTTCTCCCGTGCTTCCAAGAACCTATCTGCCTCTTGATTGCTACCCTAATCGTAAATGCACGGACATGACCACAGGGATCACTGCCATGCCCATCGGGCAGACTGTTCCTTGACTACGTCGATTTGTCGCTCTCAGTGTTGCAACTTTGTGGTTCCTTGGCCTCATCTCCGTTGGGCTGCTGCTTTATTTCGCCCTTCCGATTAAGGTTCCATTGAGGATCGGAACCCATGATGCATGGACGTTGTAAGATGAAACCTTGTTTGGGCTTTCTTTAATGATCTCCCCGGGTGCGCTTCCATTGGGCTCAAAAGTGGTGCCACGCGGGACCACACATACTTGGCAGATCGGCTATGGTGGCCGGTTACAAACCTATGCCCACGTGGATACATGTTGATCCATTGACTTTATTTGTATCGTATTCCAAGAGCCTGGCCATCCATATCACAACATGGTACTTAGACAGAGTGAAGCCTTTCATTCGTCTGGCAGACAAGACCATTTGTCTACCCGGTTTGATGCCGTGCGCCCAGTGTAATTTGTCACAATCGCCTCACATACAGCCCCTCCATCGGCTCCGCAAGTCTTGGCTCCGGCGGTTGGTTGCGTTGGTGTAGGCATCGCCCCCCCGTTCGCCCGGGACCTAAGGATCGAGTGCCAAGATCATTGCACAAAGTGCAAGATCTCTTGATGGTGCGACGTTGGCACTACGGGCTTCGTCGAGGAAGACTATTGAAAGGAAAAAATCGATTGATTTGTCACAGCAAGACTATCTCCGAAGCATGAAACCACTAATTGAAATCCCGGTATTTGCAACCTATCATCTATGCCCAAGAATGTCGCGACCGGAGCGAAGACTTTGCCTACAGTTCTTCGACGAATTGGACGATCAAGGTGCCCTTCAGGGTCGCAAGGCGACTGGGAAGAGGGATCTTGGTATTGAAGGAAATCAGGAATACCCAGGAGAATGGGATAGGAGATGCAAGCCAAATCCTTGCTTGGGGATCCTTCGGGGTACTGAAGACAATTCCGGTTGGCTGTGTTCCGGACCCCACGCCGAGTAGCTCCCAGGGAAAATAATAAATAAGTTTGACCCTGCATGACACCCTGAGGCAACACAAGCCGGCGTGCGAAGAAGCTGTTCCATCTTCACGTCGTAAGCGGCCTCAGAAACTGGACTTCGGGGTTTTTGCCTGGCCGAATATGGCATGATAGCTTATGCTTCTTTCTCCAAGCCGCCGAACCCGGGAAGTCTCGCCGTTCATCTTGTTCATGTTACAATGCGGTGTTCCATTTTGGCCCCCAGCCATCCCGGGATAGAGGCCAAAACCAGATGGCCTTTATCACCATCGGAAGCCAAGACACAATAGCCAAGTATCGGGCTGGGAGCAGCCATCTGGTCTCGAGAGTCTCATGCGATGAGATGTTCAGGCATCAGGGGTGAAAGATCGAAGCCGTCCTTGCCAACGTCGGGACTTTTTTCTGCCCGACTAAAGGAAAGCTCCCATTCTCGAAGATTGAGCCGTGCGCCCGGAGCAGGTTCAGGTGCATTCCCACCCTCCCAGCGTCTCCAAGTCAACCCCGCGAACCCCCGGCCCTCGTCATTGAGGAACACAGGATAGGATATCAAGAGCGCATGGAAAAGCCAACCTTGCATTGCGGCAAATTTGGACTTGATATTTTGTGCACTTTGAAGCCCCCGGCGTGAGACGTTCATGGTCAACACAGCCTATCTGCCTATGAGATTGGGAAAAATGAAAAGTAACCATGAGTGTGCCCCTTGCTCTAGGTCATGATGCTGTTGGTGCTAGGTAGCAGGCCTCTTAGCCAACCGTGATGGCGAGATTCGGAAATTGGGAATGTTCTGGTTCGTTTTTACCACATGGTAGTTGGGGACATGGGTTGTGGTGTTGCCAGACTGCAGGAAGAGATGGTATTGACCTGATATGAGCGGCGCAATCTCTTTCGGCGACCAAACTTCAGCCCCATACCCACTACTCATGAGCAACAAAGTATGGCAGGCTGTCTTGACGCCGGCCTTGTTTTCAATCTCCCAGGGGAGCTATATCCCACGGTGGCGCCGGAACCGAAAGAAGCTGACCAAACGCTCGGGGTCGCCCAACATTTCAGGCTGCCACCTGAACTTTGAGCATATTCCATGTTCAGGTCACCAATAGCTCATACCATGGACTGCGCCCCTGCATAGCGTTGTTACTTCCGTGATGGTGGGGACGTTGGATGCAAGAGCCGGCCGGTCTGCCGTCGCTCGAAGCTTGGCAGGAGACAAACCTGCCGGTGGAAGAGCCTAAACACCCGATTAGACGGCAGCCCATACAGCATCACAACAACACCGTGCCACACCGGTTTTGTCTGTTTCTCATACGCACCGCAAGCCACTTTCTTACCAGGGCGGGACGTCAGCATGCTGCGTGACACTTTACTGTCTGTTATGATCGGCAAAGACGTCTTCAGTGTCAACACCAACAGGCTGTCTGATATTCAACCATGGTACTGATCTGACCTCTCGTTGAAGGGCGTCCGTATATAACTAGTCCTACCATCTCCTCGAAAGGAGGATAACATTTCGCTTAGTCACCTAGTTCGGCGGGCAGTCTTGATCCTCCACGGGAAAGTAAGTCAAAATATTTCAGATTGAAAGAGACCTCTGTCAGTGAAATGCGAATGCGAGCCATGCGTATCAACGGCAACTCCCGTGGCTCTAAGTTTGGAGGATGCCAAATTAAAGACATCACTGGGCTTCATTTTGCGCAAGATATTTCGAGGAAATTGCAATTGCGATTCAAACCCAATGCCTGTGAGGTGCTCTATCTGGGACACCCGAACGGTATGTGGTTAAGCGGGAAGCGCGTATTACTCAAACCAATGTCGGCCGTTCCGCCCTACAAACCTTAACGGCGGGCTGGCTGCAGCATCCCAGTGCCGTTCATCCGATGTCAATACAAAGTGTTCGCACTTCAGTTGACTTTGGAACTCAATACGTTGTGTTAACTTTCTCTTTTTCCCGGTCGTTAGTTATTACCAAGACCATCATGAAGCTCGCATTGTTGTCCTTCATTGTAACTTCCGTTTCTGCGTGGTCGGTCACATTCCATGACCATGACCAGTGCGCCGGTGGAACGACTTTCCACTACGGCGGCGGCTCCAACACCGGAACCGAGCACCTCGCTCAGTGCTTCACAATGACTAGCATCAACAAGTCGTACGCCAACTATGATGCCAAAAGTGTCAACATCGTTTTCGGAGGTTGCACTATTGACATATTCACGGATCGTTTGACGTCGCCGGGACTTGCGGGGTTTGTGGCGTCAATCAGCCAGCCATCCAACTGGCAACGTATCAATCAAGTGCAGGATGGATGTATTCAGTACGTTTGATTATGACTTCTGGAGCGTCGTGAAGAGAAGTGCTAACTGGTGTCCTTCAAGGTTGGATAAGTCGAAACTGGGAAAGTGGCAGGCCTGGTCGGTTTCATGCTGAGTATTGCGCTGAGACATATATAATTCAATGACCAAAGTTCTGGTAGTCTTCATCAAAGGCTATTCAATTGACAAATTGAAGGAGAGATACCGGGGGTTGGCGTTGATTGAACCGACAGTGGCTTGAAGCGGACGTGAATAATTCAACAATGGTGAGGCAAGTAAAAAGATTTTTGGATCATCTAAAACAAACTCTCACACTACCTTCACAGTCACGAGACCATCGCCGGTGTCAATTCCGTATTACCACTGCACTTTTGATGAAGAGACTCTCGACTGCAACCTTGACGAGAAATCTTGCCGCACTACCAACACTGACGCTGTCAGTCACGCGCATTCCCGCACCGTCGCTACCCAGTGTCTCCACATCCGGCCTGGTGTTGGTCTGATTCGGCAACTTAGGGTCATCGAATTCGAGTCTTACTGCCCTAACAAGTGTCCACTCCATCTCTGTAGAACGGATCTCCTTGTCCACGAGACCGTGGTCCTCCAGGGCGAACTTGATGTTGGTCCAGCTCATGAATGCCTTCGAAAGCCATGGTATCTTCAGCCAAGAATCACCAACGCCAGCTGTCGACATAACCACAATACGACGGATGCCGGCCTGCTGGAGAATCTCACAAGCACTGGCGCAGGAGTCGGCTAGGAAGCGGGGAGGTGAGAGCTGACGTGCGAAAGGGCTGTCAGACTCGCGGACGGTGTTTAGGGTGATGATGGCGGCGGAAGGAGTTAGAGGAGGCGTAGCCGAAAGAGCTGATGAGATATCAGGCTTTGATAGCGGCGATCCGGTGACGACGGTGAGGCCAGGATTGTCTGGGAGACCGCCAGGAGAGCGGACGAGAGCTACTGCTGTATGTCCTTGAGACAAGAGTTCAGACACAACCTGTTTGCCAGTACGCCCTTTCGCGCCCAGAAGCAAGAAGTGCATGATGACAAGTGAGAAGAAAGTAAGAAGAAGATCAGTTTGGGCTTGTAATCTACTGTCTGAGCGTACAGCCGATTCGAAAATAAAATGAAACTGCTGATATTGGACTTTTCAATGCTGCCTACCAAAACAAATGGGGATGTCCATGTATTTAACGTTGACGGACCAACGGTCAGTCGCACACAGATCCAACCCGCAAGAACTATATTTCTGATGAAAGATGGTCATGAGACCGCAACACCTACGCCTAGAATTGCATTTACGGTGTCTGCCGATTGGCTTGCTCGGTCCGGATACTACAACGGTCTCGGACGACACGGGACCCACCGGGCGGCACGGCCGAAGGATTAAATCGGGGAAGCGGGCGCCGTCAGCACGTAGCCTGCGCCCGCGCTAACTCAATCAAGTAGTGTGAGCGAGCCGGCCAACCATATGTGGTGATGGCGGTTCCGAGTATCATGCGTGGTGTTGTTGCCTGTGAGGCAGAAATTCCGTGCCAAAGATTATAAAATCAGGTTACTTTGTCACGATCTTCCCCAAGTTATCCAAGATGATGTCGAAGTTCATCACCAACAACCGCGGAATTCTGTCGCAAATATTACACTCATCCAAAATGCCAGCATTCACTCTATATGGCGCTCATGGCTCGACCAACACAGACCGTGTTCGTTTGACCCTCGCTGAAGGTGGCTTCACGGACTACGAACTTGTTTTGATCAACCTACAAAAGGGGGAACAAAAGGTGCGTAAACCGACATCTGCTCAGAGTCATGTGCTGACACCAACCCCCACAGTCGGAAGACTATATGAAGAGACACCCTTGGGGTAAAGTCCCAGTCGTCATCTTCCCCGACGGTTTCACTCTCTATGAGAGTAGGGTTATCTGCAAGTACCTCGCCAAGAAATACTGCTTCCCGCTTCTACCGCCCGACTCCGACAGGGAAGCTACTGCACTTTTTGAACAAGCGCAGTCGGAGGAGATGTCTTACTTTGCCGACCCCGCAGGTAAAATCGCGTTTGAGAAGTTTGTGAAGCAGAGATTCATGGGCTTGCCTCCTGATGAGACCGTCGTGTCAGGAGCAACACGGTCCATCGAAGCCTTTTTTGACGTTGCTGAACGTGCATTGCAACACAGCGACTACATGGCTGGGGAGGACTTCACTCTCGTGGACATTTACTATGTACCCCTGATCCACAGGCTCTTCGTATGCGGATATGCAGATCTTATCCTCGGTCGAAAAGCCGTGAGTGCATGGTGGAACCGCGTCATCAACAGGCCAGCCATACAGCAAGTCCTGACCGCTGATAAGGAGGCTGCAAAGGCGACACAGTGATATGGTAGTAAATGAGGCAATTGGAGATCAATTGTGTTATATACAATATTGCAGATGGTTTTCCCCCATTGAAGCTGTTGAAGTCCATTGCATGCCCAAGTTCACTTGTGAGAGTCGACAGAAATCCGTCAACACATGCATCAAGTACTCATCAACATGCTGGATTCGACGCAAGTTCTTTACTATCAGCACCCCTGTAACCTTGATAAGTCTTTAATCCTTCCTCTACATTATTTGCTACAAGACGCAATTGCTCAATCTCGGCCAGTCGCTTCTCGTTATTCTCTATATCGCAGGAGATTGCCCCTAAGAGCACGATCTGCAGGGTCCGATAGAACAAACGTAAGAAAGACACTGACAGAGGCTCCCGTTGCCTAGCTTTTGCGTCCGAATGAACGCGCTCGAACATTGAGTACCACGAGTCCAAACTATTCAGGAGAGATGCCTTTTCGGAAACAAGTAAGAGAGCCATTGCCATCGACTCAACGTTCGAAACCTTATCGAGGAATTCAAGCGTCCTCGAGGCAATCCTGGTAAGAAGCTTGCGCATGTCGGGTGCTATGGATCGAGCAGGGACAGATTCATATTCCCCAGACTGTCGGTGAGACAACACCGGGCATGCACCCGTGGCTGTTTCCTTCATGTCTGCTGATGCCGGAGAATCTGCAAATTTGCATGGTGCAATGAAAAGTTTGAGAACGAAGACGTCGAGTAGAGGAATCTTGCTATGGCTTGCCGGTATCAACTTATCTCTCCCAATCAACAATGGCCGTGCCCGATATTCATGCATGATACTGAGTCCCTGAACAAGATGCTGAGCTACGGCTGAGTAATTGCCGCGCACCTGCTCGATGCTGAGGAATATTTGGCAGCAAAGCAACGCCGACCTTATTTCGTCGGAACCCGGAGACGACAATTTGGACGCCAGGCCCCCTAAAGCCATGCAGTACTGCTGAACTCCATGGTCATAGTCTCGACCCGACTTCTGTCCTAGAGATGAAAAGGCGAAATCTTCGCAAGTCTCGAGATGCTTTCGGAGAATTTTAAGGGATGAAACTGCCAATCGGACTGATGGATCAGTTACACTGGCTTGTAGGATTTGTTGAGCCTCTTTATCGCAGGCAAGGTCCACGTCGAATATGGTCTTGGTTGAGAAGTAACGGCCAAGAAGATGAACGTCTTCACGAGTGATCTCAATCTCAGCCATTTTCGGTCTCGTGGACTGTATCCTCGTCGTATCCCACTGGGCACCTGCCGACTGAGATGCGTGGTTTGTCAAAACGAGTCGAAATGGAGACTCGTAACCGTCACAAGTGCGGCCTGTGCTCGTGCACCTATGGCAAAGGGGCTTTTGCTCGTCACATTTGATCCTCCTTGTTCTGTTACCGAGTTAGTGGGATGACCGCAATGATGAATCCCTTACTGGATCCTGATATCGATGGCTAGCGCCGACGATATAACTCGAGTCTTACCTGCATGTTGCACATCCAGTTTTCACCTTATTTCTACCTTGAATGGTGCGTTTTCGTGACACTGGGCCGCAGATCATTTGTGCGCCGGGTGGTTGAGGCATGCGCTGGGGACAGCTGCGCCGCGCAGATTGGCGACGATGAGACGCAAAAGCTGACTTGGTGCATATCCGTGGCCAGAGGCCAAAAGCGGGCAACTCGCTTAATATAGAGATTCGCTTCATGTGAGCTAAGTTCATTATATAAGCGTATGCAGTCCCGAAGATGGTAGGGGTTTCAAGCCACAAGTAAGCGCTAGTCCACCTGCGTGCGAACATGGTCACAACATCGGCTGCTCGCCCATGAAGGATGGAAGACAACGACCACCTCTTCATGGTAAACTGGAACGTCGTGTTATGAGTCTATTTGCGCCATAACGTCTAGTGTATTGTATGATTTGAATTACGTCGGTAGAAATCCAACTTTGACATGCACAACGATCTCTCTAATTCCTTGCCTCTAAACCGCTTCCCCAGTGCCTCTAAACTTTGTATGAATCTGAAACAAAGAGGCCGAGTCACGTTTTATTTCGTAGAATATGGGATTCGTCTCTTGCCATCTAAGGTCTCTTGGAAGAAGTCTCGGAAGGTGGTCGGCTTGAAATCGGGGTACAGATCTCCAGCCACGATGTAGCCCAAGCGCTTGACACCCTCCGGGCTATTGTCGCCGTCGATGAAAGAGGAGTAGTAATATTCCAGCCACAGCTTGCCGACAAGTAAAAAATAGTTATTCGAATCGCTTTGTAGTTGAGAGGCTGCGCCGACGATCATGGACTTGAGCTCTTCTGCCGAAACCTGTATGAAAGAGATTGTTAGGTTACGGTAGAGCAACGATTGGGAGTTGATAACATACATGCTTTCGGGTAACAGTATCGCCTGTGAGCTTTTCAGCAATGGCAAACATTTCGTTGAAAGACATGCTTGCTCCCGCAGCCATAACCCGCTTATTGACAGTCCTGGAGTCAACAATGATGCGAGCGACAAACCTTCCGACGTCTTCGTTGTCAATTACATAGGTTTTCATTGTTCCGTCTCCAGGGACCAAGTTCCTGAGGAAGTCCGGAAGCGCAATGGCATGATCAGTTTTCCCGGACGGCACCTCAGGTATGAAGCCGTTGTACCACCACCCGACGTCAATGATGGTGTATGGAATTTCGCATGATTCAAGCTCTTTGTAGATCTTCTCTTTCTGCAGGGAAATCAGCGGCCGTGAAAGGCCCGAAGGACATGTAAGACGTAGTGGAGAGATTGATCGAGTGCTGTAGATTGTGGCACATTTTTCAAAGACAGAAAAATAGGATTTGAACGTACCATGGATTGCACAGATGAGATACCTTTTGGGTCGAGAGCCATCGCAAAAGCAGTTGGGATGAACCGTTTGATGTTTGCCAGTTTGGAAGCTCGGATCAGGGGCAGTTGCGAATCGAGCGCATTGGGAGGCACAGACGCAATAACAATATCCTGGCCTTCTAGAACCCTGGCAGCGTCAACTTCTGGTCCTTCCAGATCGATAGCTACGATTTCGACGCCGCGCTGAGCCAGCTTAGCATAGGCCGGCTTCGATATTGAAGAGGGCCGGACCAGAGCTGTAACTTCCTAAGGATCAAAATTAGCTCATATATTGAATACCAATCGGACAATCCTGCGCCACCAATGACATGACAGAAACAAACACGTACAAAGCATGAAGTGGTCGATGCGAGAAGCTGATCTACGATCAGGCCCGCTGACTCGCCAGCGGCGCCGTAAACGGCAACCTTAATGGCGTCGGAGATCATTCTGACAGTTGGTAAGTCGTCGGAGTTGACGCTTGGATTTCAGATTGAGTTTGAGTGCACTGAATTGATAGCTAGGTACTAACTACCTGATTGATCCAAGAATTATATACTATCTTGGCCTATGACCGCGCTTCAGAACACCGCGACAGAGACGGCTCACCTTACCAAGCAAGCAAGATGATCGCGCATGCTCTTGTTCGGAATAACAATAGGATCATTGCGCCTTAGCTGAGAAATTACTGATATCCGTGGCCGGCGCCGATATGACGGGGACGCGGGGACCGGAACATGTGTGGGGCTACCAGCTCGGTACAGAACGGAGAGCCGGAACATCTGCGGGGAACCCAGAAATTCCCAATCAATAGACGTCGGATCCTAGCGGAAACAATTGCAATGGAGAAGTTACCGTCGTTTTCAGTAAAGTCTCGGTGCGTCTTGTATTATTAAGCCAACTCCGGCAGTCTGAGCCTGACAATTGAAAGCTCAGCCATCCGCCTTCCTTCTTTCGCATCTTCCGAGCTTCAGGATCCGCGCCCGCCCGAAGTTCCGAGCATGTCTACCCCGACAGACACACCTATTCCAGAATCATCGGCGGAGCGGTCCAGATGGGCTTGCACGCCGTGCAGACAGCGAAAGGTACGTCATCAGAGCCATGCTTGCCGTTGATAGCGCAGCCGCTAACGGGCCGAGTAGGTGAAATGCGACTCAACCCTGCCTGCATGTTCGACATGCGTGGCGAAGGAGCTGGACTGCGTCTACTCCCACAAACGGCTCCGCGCGCCCACCAGCAGAAAGTATCGTTCGCCCAATGTCAACAGGCATGGACGTGTTTCTGACGCACTGGAACAGGTCAGGTTCTAGCTCCCGTGCTGGTATGATCAGGAGACTACAGCAGGTTGAGCAGATGGTGCAAAGCTTGACACCCGGCAACAAGGTCGAAAACGTTGCTCACCTGCCGAGCTCGAGACAGCTCCACGTCTCTCCACTGGCCCACCTGGGGTTCGATACTCTGTGCGAAGAGTCGTACGTAACGAGTCCCGATGTGTTGTACCGTCTCATATGCCGCGACGCACTGCCGATGGCTAGAATAGGAGCGCCTGATCAGCCAGTTGCTAAGTTCCAATATCAGAGTATGTCGCTGATTAGCCACATAATTCATGACGGCCAGTCGGACTGACAACTGACACAGGCTCATGCTGCATTTTTGATGTTCTTCACATCAAATGCGTAGATTACATGATCGGCAACCAAACGTTTAGCAAGCTGTGCAGCAGATCGCTGCATCCAAATTTCCCAAGTCTTAATCTTTCAGTGGGGCCGATGCATCCTTTACCAATGCTAGACACGGCACTGCAGTGTCTCAGAAGTAGGCCCACTCATCCCTGAACAGCTACTACCATCTCTAACATTATTCAGTCTTCCAAGAGTCGGTGAACAGCGACTTCCAGTTCTTCCGAAATGAGGAGATGGAGGGCGTATTGCAGAACTATGTTCAAGGACAGTCTTGTCCAAGTCAGGGTGTCTACGCAGCCATCAGCATGGTTTGTGCATGCGCCTCGTGGACGTTGCATGGCGCTCAGAATGCGATGACGGAAAGGCTTGTGGAGAACGCCATGCGGGTGCTGCCTGGTATCATGATGGAGGTACCCGACACATTGGCAGTTGGCACGCTGCTCTTGATGGTACGTCTATTGAACCATACGTCATGGTTTGCTGGACTAGAACTAAAAGAAGACCTGTTAGACAGCCTACCTTGAATCCACGTCCAGGAGCTCTGCAGCTGCAACTGTGCTTGGATCAGTAACGCAGATGATGCTGTTGGCTGGATACCATGTGGCCACATCTTCCTCTGGAGCGCTGTCGACCGACCAGCTTCACAAAAACCGGCTTTTTTATCGGGCTTATGTTATGGACCAAAGGCTATCACTGCGACTTTTCAAACCCCCTCTTCTGACTGAAAGGCTAGTTATTGGTTTGCCTGATGAACATCCTGTTGACAGTCATGGAGTCATCAAGCTTTCAGAAGGCCGTAGCCTCAATTATCTACGACAGCAAGTGCTGCTTGCGAAGATACAGGACAGAGTATACGACAACCTCCGATCGCCTCTTCCTTCCGCGAAAGGCAGCCAGAATCATCTGAAAGCCACCTCAAAACTACTTTCAGAGCTTCAAAAGTGGGCAAATAACCTGCCTGCGTCTGCTAGGCCTCCAAATGTAGCAGAAGACTTGCCAATTCCCCATGCGATGCAGATTACCTCTCTGCATCGCACCTACTTCCAAACAATAATCGCCATCCACTCCTCCATATTTTGCCACATCCCATACTTCAGCGACCCCGCCATACGGGAGATAACGATAAAGGTAGTAAATGAGTGCGCGTCTGCCGCGAGAAACATTCTCCGTCTTTCCGTATACACGGAGAAAAACAATCCGTTCATGTTGTAAGTCTCAATTCGAACAACACAGTCGCCCAACACTAATCGTGAGCCTCAAGGGACATGTGCCATGACCTTGGGTGGAGCATTGACGGCTTGCTTCTAAGCATCGTGCTGTACAGGCAAACGCCTGGAGCCCAGCAAGACATGGAGCTTTTGAAGGGGTTTTTGGATTCCTTTGAGACAAACAAGCCACAACATGACGGGAGGGTCATTTATGAGGCTCTGACGATCATTTACAAGAGCGCTCTCGAAGCCCTGGGCCTTACGGATCAAGACCGAGACCAGCCTGAGCATGCATGGCTAAGACTTCCAGCGTCGCCTTCTGATATACAGCTCAATCCACCCACCTTCAATGATCCTTCAGAACTACTGAGCTAGCTAGAGACCTTAAGGACTTCTTGAGGGGTATGGGATTCCTGTGGAAAATGGAGCTAGAGGGAGATTTTCATTAATGGGATTCACGGTCATGGTACTGCGCAAGCGTGAAAACATGATGTAAAAGGAGCAGGTGAAATCGACGATTCCCCAGTGGTAAGTTACTAATGCTGTTGAATAAAACCATTGGTCCCTGTGAAGCTGCTAGACACGCCGTAGGGCGTGTGTTTCAGTCGGCACGGGGTCTGAATGTTGACATTACACTCTTCCGTGTCCTCGGCCAACAGTCAACAATAATACCCATTGATATTGAGCAGGGGAGTTGCCAACTTCCTCATGGAAATGCGCCACTCTGTGCCACAAAATCTACGACGGGCTGAAACGCGCTGCCTCCCCGAGTGACTCAACCCCCGGCAAAACCCGACTCGTGTTCTTGCTGTTAGAAGTACGGAGAAGCACAGCCACAGTTGCTTCTGTATTTGAAGTGAAGATCGGCAGCATCATCTCTACCCCGATTGAACCAGATCCCATTCTGAAGACGAGCATACTTGACGGATTTACATCTCGACCCAGCGCCTTAAAATCTATCGAAACCAACATCGCAACGGCCATCTAGGACGATGACCCATCAAACGCCACACCTTCTCACAAAGGGTGAACTGCGGAGAGTCGAAGAGTGCGCCAAGGAAAACGGGACGTTTGCAGAGTGCTGGAACAGCGATCAAGTCGTCATTGTAGGCTGCGAACCGGTAGGCGCGCATGTATGCGTCACGGAAACGCCGTCCATGGAGCTGGACATCCTCTCGCCAACTGCGAATCCACTCTCGGGCTCCAAGTCCAATAAGCAACACCCCACAAGGCAGTGCTGCAAGAAAAAGTTCATTGTACTGGAAAAGTCCAAGGTCAACAAGAGACTCCGACCGAAGCCATGGTATTACCGCTACGACTCCACCGAGGAGTTTTCACTTTACTACGACGACGCGAAAGCGAAAGTCAAAGAACTATTTTCTCAACTAGCAACTGAGTATGTGTCGATTTGCGTCGTGAGCCACGACATGCAGGACTCTCTCAGCTCGCTACAGAAATTCGAAATCGAGCTGCCATCGACAACTATATTCGTCGACCTTATCAAAGTCCTGGAACACCAAAGTCGACATGATGATCAGGGCATGCCGAAACCTTTGAGAAAATACACAGACGACAACATCGCGATTCGCAACGGGCGATATGATCGACGACCTTGGCCGCTAACAGGCCAATACGGCATGCCAAATTATGCCCTGGTCTCAGTGCTCGGGCCAGCTGCGGAGGGTTGCAAGCGAGATAAGACTGAGAAGGAGGATACTGCCTTGAAGAGAATCGCAAAACGAGCGGCTGTGGACAACCTAAATTTAGGCCACAAAAGACGGCCTTGAGTGTACTCTGTAAACACGTTCAAGGTGTGATGCCTTCGTCAACGATCATGTTACCTCCATGTCCCGCGTATCCCGCGCATCGGCAGGTACCGAATGGCGCTGCATGCTGCACCGCGCACAGCCGACGCGCTTAGATAAACTACTCTGATGAGCAAGGGTCTTAGGGAGGAGATTGTAATACGAGGTAGTAATTGCCAAGGCACCAGGACCCTCTTCAGCGGCTTTAGAATCACATTTAAGGCAGGTTAACCAGCAAAACCTCTTGGCAGCGCATGGCATTTTCCAGCTTTCAATTTGTGATGTTAAAATCGAGCTTTTGAGCTCCGTCCTGTCGCATGACGTCTTGGACGAATCGAGCAGGTAGCTCAACTTCACGAGTCAAATCCCGGGCAAATGCAACCCGATGCCGGCTGTCAAGTTTATCTCCTCCACGAACGCGATGTTCACGAACGCTCAATGGTCTATCCTTTGGCGGAGTGTCCAGAAGAGGGAGTTCGAAGTTGGGAGATGGCGCTTGATTCTATTTTCCCGCCACTTTGTGGAATTCGGCGCCCCGGTGATCGAGATTTATAAAGACTCGTGAAAGACCGCCAGAATCATAACCATTGCTCTCATCATCGGCATCCCAATCCTCTCACTCCGCTCCCATCTTCTCGGCACTCTCTTCATCATGCAGCTCAAGTCTTTCCTGGTCGCCGCCTCCATGGTGGCATCCGCCTTCGCCAAGCGAACTTGCGGAACCGACGAGCCCACCGAGGTCGACCTCCAGGTCGCCCAGGACTTCAAGCTCATGGAGTCTAGCGCCCGCCTTGCCGGCAACGGCTCCCGTGCCGCCGGCCCCATCCAGATCAATGTCTACTGGCACGTCGTGGCCTCCTCGCAGTCCGTGAGCGGCGGCTACCTGACCCAGGCCACCCTGGATGAGCAGCTTGCCGTGCTCAACACCGCCTACGCCCCCCACGACATCTCCTTTGTCGAGGCTGGCGCTGACTGGACTGTCAACTCTAACTGGGCTGCTGACCGTGCTGAGGTCGCGATGAAGACTGCGCTTCGCAAGGGCACGTACGCTGATCTGAACGTGTACTTCGTCACTAGCTCGCGCTACCTTGGCTATGCTCGATTCCCTCAGACCATCACCCCGGGATCTGCTGAGTTCAACCGCGACGGCGTTGTCATTCTCTCTACCACCGTCCCGGGTGGCAGCTACGAGGAGTACAGCCTTGGTCACACTGCCACTCACGAGATCGGTCACTGGCTTGGACGTAAGTTATCACTCAATGGCGAGCACTGCACACATTGAGCATTAGCTAACTCAAGGCAGTCTTCCACACCTTCCAAGGCTACGCCTGCAGCGGTGATGGCGACTCTGTTGATGACACCCCCTACGAGGCCGAGGTAAATATCCCCAGCGCAACACGCCAGAGTGAGATCATCAGCTAACGAATTATAACAGGAGTCCTACGGTTGCCAGATCGGTCGCGACACCTGCCCCAACTCTGCCGGTACCGACTCTGTCACCAACTACATGAACTACTCCGACGAGTAAGTAATCATCATGTTCATTTTTCCACATCAGAGCTAACTTCTCACCAGTGAGTGCTTCACCGGATTCTCCAACGGGCAGCAGAGCCGTATCTACAGCTACTGGGATACCTACCGCGCCCAGTACCAGTAAATGTTGGACATGTGGTTGTGGTGTTTATAACACTACTTACTGTCTTGGTCCTGGCAGTGTTTGGTTTGCTCACGTGCAGTAGTTGGTAATCTAATGGGACGATGAAGATTGGATACTGTGACTTCCCTTGGCTCCATATTAGATCAAGACTAAATCTAATAACATAACCTTTTCAAATATTGGCCACACTTTGACAGAGACTTCGGGTGACCTTGGTAATTGTGACTTTGTATTGGCGAAAGAAAATGGCAGAGTGCAGGTGACGCAAACACAATGGACCCAGGTTGTCATTGCATACTCTACGTTCTAGATTCCTACCAGCCTTGACGTCTTTCTGAAATCCGACCCGTGCAAAGAAAATAAAAAGCATCCACATCCGCGGATCATTGCTGATTCAACTACTCGTTGATGATCAGACTGCCGGAACACAAAGCTTGGGACCCACTCTCGGACCTGGACTCGGGAAAGGTTGTGAAGAGTTCATCCGCCTCCGTGTGACATGGACGCTGAACCGGGCCGGCCGGGTGCTTCGATCGCAACATGCATGTTAGTAACCTTCCCCTCGAAACTTGGCAACAGTAGCACAGAAATGACAAATCAGACCAGTCTCCCTGTGCCTCAACCGCCGTCGTCTTTGCGGTCTCACATCGCCCGGTCTTAGCGTACCTTTATTGAGTCTGCCCCAGTTGGAGTGACGTAACGGGGTTCAGCTGCGGCTACGAACAGCGACGTTACACGGGAGGCAGCTATATAAAGTCAGCGAACCTTCCTAGATGGAATCCACCAATAACTGCTCGGATGCATCCCTTTGCCTCTGCGCCGAATAATCCGCGATGGTCAAATTCCTCACCCTTGCCTCAGTCACTACTGGCGTAGTCGCTGCCTCTAGCAATGGCTCACCAACCACTCCAATTCTCGATTGCGGTCAAAACTGTCAACGACCACCAGTTGGGAGCCTTGAGTACCTGACAGCTGTACATTCCATCCAGCATCTGCTCGCTCGATACCCCGTAGCCATCGATGGAAAGGACTGGGGCCAGCTTGGCAGCATCTTCGCAGCCAACGCCACAGCCAGTTTTCCGCCTCCCTTGGGTGACCTCGCTGGCTCCGACAACATTGCAACGGCCATCTCTCAAGGGCTGGGCTTCTTCGCCAGTACTCACCATAGCTACGGCACTCAGCTCATTGAAGTCTGCTCCGAAGATACCGCTGTCGCAATGACGTATTTGACTGCATCTCATTTCATGGCGGGGACGACAAACCTTTCGGAGACCTTTGGTTTAGACAACGTCTTATATAGTTACGGACGGTACCTCGACAAAGTGGAGCGAGGTGTAGAAGGAAAGTGGAAAATCCTCCACAGAACCCTGGTCATGATGGTGAGTCTTGATTCTGACAAGTGTGGGATACGTTGTTGAAACCACTTTTCATAGGGACCTAGCATCTCCGACATATCTATCTAGTAGTGGACACAAAATAAGCTCAATAACTGTCCTGTTGTATTGGCTTACGATACTGCATATGTCTGTTATACCAAATTCACTGTGTATCTGTGTAATGTTTGTACCTGAACACGACAACGATGGTGGATTTGCTTCCAATTAGATAGACCACTGTGCTCATTGCTGCTAATTGCATATTCAAGTCAGACCGCCGGCTTCCTCACTTACATGCAATTACTGGCGTCGCCGCTATATCCGCTTGTAAGACGCGTCCCCGCCCCAAGCCTTGTCTGAAAAGATGCCATATTTTCACTCTTGTTTGGCTCAAAGCTGAAGCAGATTTGCAACGTCGCATCGATTCAGTCATGCCGTACTGCAGGATCTGCACGAAGTTAACTATCGACGATGTATCGAACACCGATTTCCGGTTTCACCCAACCCTGAAGTCTCTTAAGCAGGGCGCTGATAACAACTGCCCACTATGCGCCCTCTGTTTCACAAGGCTACAAGATGAAAACGAGCCTCAAGTCATTTCTGACCTTCTCGATGGCAAAAGGCCAAGCCAGTCGCGTGAAGGAACCTGGTACCATAGCATCTGGCTGCATGGAGAGTATGTGCCCGTTGAGCACAACACTGGAAGCAGGAGGGGAGAGAGTTCGGGGGGCGGCGTATGGATAAGCGTCGGGCGGTTCCGCGCAGGTTTCAACGATATGGAAGAGACCAACATATCCGGATTTCAGGTGACAGCCAGACTGTCTTGGTATGCGTGAGTACTGCGTCTTTGGGCCGTGTAGTTGCGTCGTGGGATACATCCAAAACCTACACTAACGATCAGAAGCCTCAACAGGACAAGCGCCGCCTTAAGCTATCCTGAACGTTGCATCGGTGCAGACCCGGATGCCAATACCCATATAAGCTTGGCACGTTCCCATTTCGAAGAGTGCCGCAAGTTTCATAAGCTCTGCGCAGTCCAAAGATCCAAGGCAATGCCCACGCGCGTCATTGCAGTAGGAGACACAAGCCGCCCTCCGAGGCTCCTTGTCACAGAAGGCCTTGAAGAGCCATATTTGGCGCTGTCATACTGTTGGGGCCCGTCGCAAACCACTTTCAAGCTTACTAAAGGTACCTTTGACAAAATGATCAAGGGTATCAATGAAGGAAGATTGACGAAGACACACCAGGAAGCCATCAACTTCACTCGAGCTCTAGGCTTGCAGTATATATGGATCGACGCCCTCTGCATCATTCAGGGCGACGAAAATGACTGGTCGTTTGAGTCTAGGCGTATGGAACAGGTCTACGGAAACGCGGCTTTGACCATCGTGGCTGCACGTTCCAGTGACGCTTGCCTTGGGTTTATCAACCCTCCAAGCAGCACTGGAAAGATTGGAAAGGCATGCGCCATTCCTCTCTCTCCTTCCAACAAAGACGTATTGTACCTTGACGTTCCTCGCACGGTGAAACGTGGGCCAGTATGGACGCGTGGTTGGTGTTTCCAGGAGAAGATTCTCTCCAATCGGTCAGTCATCTTTTGCGAGACTCAGCTTTTGTATGAATGCCGGACATGGGAGATCTGGGAGGATGGGAAGTCCAAGCACCTAGGCTCAGTGCCCACATTTCTGGCCCCGGGGTTCGTCTCCTCAGCCAAGAACAGGGAGGCCGACATCGCAAAGACGCTCAGCATGTGGTACCAGAGTCTCTACGACTTTACACAGCGAAAATTGTCCAACCCACATGACGTATTTGCTGCTATCGCGTCAATTGCAAAGCTCGCCAAGGAGGTCCTGCAGTCTCGTTACCTCGCGGGCCTTTGGGAAGCCGACCTCGTAAGAGGGCTGCTGTGGAAGTCCATGCACTCATTTCTCGGGAAACGTTGCGAACCCGTTACCCGCCCCAAGCCGACCGCTTTTGCACCTGCACCTGTTCTTCGTGCGCCCTCCTGGTCGTGGGCATCTGTCGAGGGTCACATTCGAAATGAAACCGACGCTAGAAGGGTCAAAACGCTGTTCGCTGCGGAGTCTATCAAGGTACGTCCGGGAGCTGGCAACAATTGGACGATAGACACAACCTGCGATGTAGAAGTTCTGAAAATGCCGTCTTGCGAGCTGCGTTTGATTGGGCAAGTGGCGAAGGCTGTCGTATCAAAGGTAGCGGTAAGAGACTACATCTCAGCGGTCAAACGGGAGCCAAAGCAATGGAAGGCCAGTATGCCCAATGGTAAATTGCTTATTTCGGCGGACAAGAACACAAGTAAACTCAACCTACAAGGGCAAGTCGTTGCTGTCGGATTCTTCGATGTAATGGAAGAAGCTTGTGATGAGGTATGGTGTCTACTGATGATCGAGGAGGAAGGATTGATGTTAGCCAGACATGGTACGACATGGAAACGAGTAGGCTGGTTCGGTGTAGAAGACAAGGGATGGTTTGCAGGCAGGGCTGCCGTTGACATTACACTTGGATGACCAGGCACTGCGCTCATGTATGGATGGCTTTGAAATTCTCCTCATGTATACTATCGAATTCTACCCTTTCGTCTGTTCTCTTCATTGATCTTGATCCTCTTGGCCCTTGCGGCCAAAAAAGAGCCATAAAGGTTTCTGCAAGCGCTGTTAGGAAGTAATCATGAGGATTGCGGACTGTGTCCGACCGACTGAAGGACTTTTGAAGTGATGCGTTCTAGTCTGACACACACTTAAAGTCCTTGCTTAACATATAAACCAAGTCGAATTGAGGCTCACTGCGTCTGACCTGCACCTGTGTATTTGGATCAGTCAAGTGCAATCCCAGCCGCCACAGGCACAGGTTTAGCGCCCGGCGTCAGCTTTAAGTCGTAGTTCATCAGCAAGAGGCACAACGCAACACACGAGATGAGATGCGTGCGACAAGGTCCAAGAGCGCGGCTTCAATACGAATTCTTTCCATTCTGTTGTGCCAAGTATCGGCTATGATTGTCCAGGCGGCGCTGCAAATGTCATCGTAGATGAAGAGAACCACGTTACCTTGAGAATCACTAAAACCCTGTCGACTAGCCTGATCACACTACTAGCATTGCGTTACGACGTTTAAGCTTATTAATAAGACTAAGGCGAGCTACCGCAAGATCCTCGCGCTGTTCCTCGTGGACCTGAGGGTCCGATTATTGGTACGGCGAATATGCCGCCGCAGCAAAGGGGGTGGTGGAAGGAGGGCGCGGCGCAGGGAGACCGGTTGGGAACGTTGCCGCCCGAGATTACGGATGTGGTGTTTGATAATATGGATTTTCCGATTGGGATCGAGGAGGCCAAGAGGACACGGGCTGATTTGATGGAGGAGAGGACGACGATTGCCGAGCAGGGGATGGGGGTGATGACGACAATGGAGTGGAACGTTTGTGAGCACTGAGTCTGGCGGAACCTGGCCTCGTTGTGTTGTATTCGTATCGAAGGAAGGGGACCGCTCAGTCGTCATGGCGGTGAAGGGAGAGGAACTTGGAAGCTGTGTTGAGACGTTTGCGTGACCGGCCTGGAAGATTGACACCAGATGTGTCAATAGCTGTGCAAATCGTGTCACCCCAGCCTCAGCTCATGACTGCGGTTGTGCTCCGATTGGACGATCTGACGGCATCCTGCGCTCCCGCAATAAGACATGTGGATTGTGTCTCATGCCGTTCGCCAGATACGTTAGTTGCCTGTGAGACAGTAAAGTTGAAGCTAGGGCACAGGATCTTACTCATAAGGATCGTGTTGTTCAGCAGTATGCGTCAATTGTCGCAATTTTCGTATAAATCTTTGTTCCCAAGCAACCTTTCCTATCATCGCCTCTCATTTGCTACGTGGTTTTTGGCCATTGAAATCATCTACTCTCAAAGGCAGCACCTTATCGACATCATCGTCATGCTTTACTATCTCATCAACAGCTTCAAGTCCAAAAAGGACGCCGAACCCAGCCTCGAGCCATCAAACCACCAAAATGCCCCCAATCCTGAAAAATGGCTCGCCAACAAGATCCATCAAACAACAACTGCAACTCCCGCCCTCAACTCAAAGACCGCTAACACAACCGTTGTCGACTACCTAAACCCAAGCCTCATCAACCTCCGCACCGTCGTCCAAAACGATCCCTACCTCGCCGTCCTAGCAGACCAAATGTTCACACAAGCCGCCGCCCTTCAGCCTCGCGACCCAACAGAGCAACCCGCCGTCCAGTCCTTCCGCCAGTTCCTGCAAGTCGTCAACGTCATCATGCGCTCCGGGCCGCAATTCTTCGACAGGCCGGGAAACGAGGACGCCATGGGGTTCGTGGCGGCGCCGATTAATGCCTTGTTGAATTATCCCATGGGCACGGTGGCCGGTTACGAGTTCTTTCGGAGGCCGGAGGTAAATGAGGCGATGGGGAAGGTGTTAAGTGCTTGGGGCAAGTTTCTTGCTTCGGGAGACTCGAGGGGGTGTTTGAGGGCTTGGGTGTCTGCTTCTGGGCAGATTGTGATGGCGGAGAGGGCGAATGGAAGAGTTGGGGAGGGTGGTGGGTTAGGGTTTAGGGAGTTGTTTGTTTGTCCTGACCCTGAGGATACGGAGACTCTTGGGTATGAATCGTGGGATGCGTTTTTTGTGAGGCGTTTTCGGGAGGGTGTGCGGCATGTAGAGTTCCCTGATGATGAGGAACATATTGGCGGAGAGAAGCTGTCTGTCACGGGCAGCAGTGGCACCGTTGACATTCAGGTCGACGACAACACCTCAGTCATCGTCAACGCGTGCGAGTCGGCGCCGCTGCAAGTCGTATCCGATGTCGCCCTACAAGCAGACGTCACGATAAAGGGCCAGCCGTACTCCCTTACCGACATGCTAAACAATAACGCGCTCGCGCCGCAGTTCGTCGGCGGGACGATCTACCAGGCCTACCTGAGCGCCTTCAGCTACCACCGCTGGCATGCGCCCGTGAGCGGACGGATCGTCGAGTTAGAGATGATTCCGGGGACGTACTTCAGCGTGAACCGGTACCAAGGCATAGCTACGCGTCGGAACGATAATGATGATACAGATGGTCCGGACCCGCAGGCGCCGTGTAGGTCGCAGGCGTACACCGCTTCCGTGGCAACGCGGGCGGTGGTATATATCCAGGCGCGGAATCCGAAGATCGGGCTAATGGCGATTGTGTTTGTGGGCATGACGGAGGTGTCTAGCTGCGAGGTGACTGTAAAGCCTGGCGAGGAGGTTTTGAAGGGACAGGAGATTGGGATGTTCCATTTTGGGGGAAGTTCGCATTGCTTGGTGTTCCGGCCGGGTGTCGAGTTGAGATTTGTTGAGAACCGGTCTCCTGCGGGTCTCGAGGGGAACAATAGGGTGAAAAGTGCGCTCGCTTTGGTTGAGTGAGGGCGCCGGCTGGTGCATTTGTATATGCTGGAGTTCAGGGCAAGGGTGAATCCACCATGTCTAGTCTCTGGCTTGGTATTCCTGTTACCAAATACCCCCTGGATGAGAAAATTAGGATTTAATAGAATGTGCTAAAGAGATATACGTACTGCCCCAGATATATTTTGCAACTAGCATACATGATCGAGATCTCGTTCTCCGGCCGATGTGCGTGTTAGAAAGATCAAACAAAGGCGCCGTGTGCCTGGGGTTCATGATGTAGGAACACTGCAAGGGAAACGGGGTGGGTTCTGGGTAGCCATGCAAATTTCATCGTAGTACCAAAAGATTGCGTGATCTTAAGTCTCACAACATCGGTCACTCGAGTGGTCTTCGTTCCCTCTCTAAAAACCTCAAACCCAGGAATCCCTGAGTGGAATTGCTAAACAACAGTCAGCTAGTCAATTCGCAAGAAATGGGTACAGTACGACAAACCCCATTGACAAACGTCATGAAATCGAGGTCAGTATCGTTGCGGATAGCGTCGGCAAGCTCTGGAGGGAGAATGACCATTTCGCCCACATCCGCGATGATGCGGAAGGGTGTGGTGTTGCCAACCTGTTTGGGGCATCTGATGTTAGAGTTTCCTCGAAATACAGCGGCTTTTTCACTACTTGCCTTACCGAAGCCATCTGTGATCAGTCTTGTTGCGTCAGTTACAAACTGCCTCCTAGCTTTTGAGTTGATGAGGTCAAATATGGAAGTTGAGACAGTGACGTCCGGGAATCTTTGAGAGTTTGGATCTATTCAGAATGAGAGGAGAAGCGCAGAGAATAATCAAGAACAGCAGGTATGGCTGGCTTTTAAACAGCGCCTCAATATCTTCCGCTTTTTCAGCAGGATAGTTCGCAGCCAACGAGGCCTCTGAACTATTCGTGACACACATTTCGCGAATGGGAATGATGGCGGTTCGGACAAGTGTATTTCCTTGGTGGTCCTGGTTCGTGGTTCGTCACAACGGCCACAACGTTCGTCTTTAAATATCTCCTTCTCAAAGCGAATCCGAATTTTCTTCATAATTGATCCACAAGGATCTGATTCATCGCAACCTGAATCTAGAGGTCTAGAGTCTCACAAGAACTCCCATCCGTATATCTATGCCGCGCAGAAATGGACTGAAACATCATTCGGGCGTTCTGTCAAGCCCGATACGAAGACGCGCCGGGTTGTGAGTACCGTTTCCAGCCCCGGTGTATCCACTTTTCGGTCAGCTCTATCGTCCGCACTGACTTGATGGATGTATGGCATTTTGACGATTACTGATCCTGCCGTCAACCTCGATGTAGAAGGTCGATGCGACGATGTGGACCAATGAACTAATATGATAGGTGCGCTCCAAAAGATGATTACGACTGATGCAAGTTACTATCTACTATGGTAGATGGCCACGGTCCAAGAGTGGAAGAAGTCTCAACTGGAGATACCTAACCTGGATCATCTTATCCAACATTACCCACCTCGTGAAAACGATGTATTCTCCGAGAGGTAGCCGATCATCTGCTGATAATAACATGCCATCTGATGCCATCGAATAGCACGGAGACTTTGGCATTTCGCCCAAGCTATCATCAGGCAAATCCTGTTTACCGTCTACGGAGTTGAGTGTCGAAGCGGGAATGGGATCTTGGGACAAGTCATAGTGTGTTCCTATATTGGTCATGTGTCTTCGCGTCCATTGCACCGAATGTCATGTCGAGCCCTTGGGCGTGTTCAATTGAACCTAACAGTGATTCTATCCATACTACCAGGGTTTAGTGGCGAATTTTCGGCGATGCGGCTAATAGTATATTTCTTGACGATCTCATGAGCCAGGCATTGAAATTTTGATCACCTGGTGTCCGGCCTGAGAGGCCACTTGTGATACTCGATCGGATACTACAGAGGGCTCCTCACACTGGGCTGCATTGCGTTTCAAATGGCATGATTCTTTCATTAGGAGCTTAAACCTATGAATCCACTTGGTGTTATTGACAAACCCAGCCAATGCCTGGCTAAGCCTATAGTTGTGGATGCAGTAGGATGATCACAGAAGCATGCAGATTAATTCACACTTAGCATTGATCTTTCTCGCAACG